CCGCCTGCGCCTGGAGTTCCACCGCGGGCAGAGGTAACGCGCTGTCCCCGCGCGCGGGCACCCTCGGTGACACCCTGGGTGACACCGGGGCTCAGGGTACTGTCCCCGCAGCTGGCTCTACAACCTGCTGGCGCCGGTGCTGCAAGGACCCCTGCGCCTGGAGCTCAACAAGCACGTGAGTGCCCAGCAGTGACGCGGGGCCCTTGTGTCCCCGCTGTGTCCCCACACGGTGCTCACTGACGCCTGCTCCCTGCTTGCAGCTTTGCCCTGAGCTGCAGCGCCACGTGCACAGGCTGCAGGACACCCTGGACGACATGAGAGGTGGGGAGCACGGGGACATGGGGATAGGGATGTTGCAGGGGACACAGGGGCTTTGGGAAGGGGCTGGTGGCCCTGCTCACCCTGACCTGCGGGCTCGCAGTGACTGTCCAGCTTGACCCCTTCGCTGCCATCGACTACTCGCTGCTGCAGGAGCCGGAGATCACGGCGGAGCACGGGGACCTCAGCATTAAGGTAGAGCCGTCCCTGCAGACACTGGCACCGGCCACAGGAACTGGGCTGGCCCCCAGCACTGTGTCCATGCACCCGTGTATCCTTGCATCCCTGCATCCCTGCATCTGTGCATCCCTGCGTCCGTGCATCTACGCAGGGGAGTTCTTTGGGCGTGGGCCGGCGGCAGCAGAGCCCTTTCTTGGCAGCGCCGGTGCCGCTGCCGGTGGCGGAGGACCCCATGTTGTTCCTGGGCATCACCGAGTTCTTTGCCAACTCCGCGGCCTTCGTGTACTTCTCGGCTGGTGCCCTGCGCTGGACCGTCACCGGGGACATGGTAGGAGCTGGCGGGGGTCCCGGCGCGGGGGTCCCGCGGGGGTCTCGGCGCGGCTGCGGTGCCAAGGCCCCCGTCCCCGCAGGTGAGCAGGGCCCGCGGGAAGGGAGCGGGGGATGCTGGAGGGATGGGCTGTGGGGTGCTCGGGATGCATGGTGGGGAGGGCAGCTCCATCGGGAGGCAGGGGAATGCCGTGTGGGTAGGATGGGATGGATGCAGGCCAGTCAGGATGCAGGGGGATGCAGTGTGGGCCGGTTGGGATGCACTACAGGCCAGTTGGATTGCAGGTTGGGATGCAGCACAGGCAGGATGGGATGGGTGCAGGATGGTCGGGGTGCAGCGGGGATACAGAGCGGGCCGGTCGGGATGCAATGTGGGCTCTTCTGGATGCAGGGGGATGCAGAGGGGGCAGGTTGGGATGGATACAGACTGGGCAGGATGCAGGGGGGTGCAGAGCGCACTGGTCGGGATGCAGTGCAGGCCAGTCAGATGCAGCCCCAACCTCGCGGGCCACGATGGTGCCGTTGGTGGGAACACGGCCGGTCCCTGCAGCAGCTCCATCCCAGCGCGGCCTTGTCCCTGCAGCTGCAGGAGCTCTACCCGGAGCAGCCCATGGAGCTGCGGCTCTGGGCCCGCCAGCAGCCCCTGCTCTCCTGCCGCCCCGATGGGCTGCGCCTGGCCCTGCACGGCATCGCGGAGACCTTCGTGCTGCTTCCCAATGGCACCCGTGTGCCCGCCTTCCTGCTGCACCTCGTGAGTGCCGGGGATCAGGCAGGGGCTGGCCCTGCCCCTGCTCTTGCCTGCACAATGCTGGGCGATACCAGGGCGATGCTGGGCAAGTCTGCACGATGCTGGGGCAATGCAGGGCCAGGCT